CAAAGGCATCCATGACATCCTACTCCCCCCACAAATTTAAGAACTATTGATTTGTCTATAAATGCACTCAATTAAAAGGATTTTAAAAAATATTAGAGGTTATACTTCAAAACTGGCTGAGGATCTGAATAAGAATCTGAATTACACCAAAAACAAAAAGCTGGACAGAATCTTGGAAAATATTTGAGAATGGGTAGTGATGACTTTAGTTTGAGTGTTTTTACTAAATTTGAAAGTGCCTAAGTATCAGTTACTATAGTCTGAGGAGCAGACATTTAAAGATGAAAACCGAAAAGCATGGTTGATTTACAGAAAGGTGCATACACAGTCCTAGAGGCTGGTTATTCAAGTTTTTAGGACCTAAATTCCAGGATCCAAAAGATTTCTCAAAAATGTGGGTTGATTTTTGCACTAGTATCTTTCAGAAGTGCTCTCCTGGGATACTTCTATACCTGTCTTATACCTAGAGTAATCTCCTCAAAATACTTCTTATGCTGACTCTGAGAAGTTGCACATATATGCGTCATAATTAATTATCTGAGAAAGTACAGAATATCACACTCACAGATATCCAGCCAACCAATGCCAAAACCCTATAGCAGATGCTGATGCTTGGATTGGAATAGTTTAAAAATCTCCCATGATGCTCCATTAGAGTGCTCTTCTGTAGCCCGATAAAATATGCATGGTACATAGTAGGTGCTTAATAAGCAGCTGGTTTATTATTACTTAACTACTTAATGATAAGAATGTGGAGAAGCCCACCTCATGAAATTCCATTGGGAGTAGATGGAGTTTAGTTGCTGTCATCTAACATCAAAGAAAATACTGTGTCTGGGGGCTACCTTCCATTGTCACCCACAAACCATCAGTCTGGAAGCTCCACTGATGGTGATTACCCAATGGGTAATTTCTCCCAATTATAAGTCATAAAAAGATAGACTGGACGTTATGGCTTCTCTAGCAAAATTAATTCCATGATCAAATGCAAGGGGGACTATGGAAAACTTGGTTCCTTTAGCTCTTGTTGAGACTATTCACTAGTTAATATTTTATTTACAATCTACATATTCCACAAACTGTTGAATTGACCTTTGCAAATCAAAGCCATCTCTGTGGCTTGTGGGGAATGTCAATCTGTGAACTGCAGGTGCCTCCCAGCAAAGGAGTAAGTGGTGCAATACAGAGAGAGACAAAGGAGCAGCAACTGCACCATTCTCAATAACATTAGCTAGAGTGCACTAAACTCCAATCACATGATGGACCCTCCCTACTAAGTTGTAGCTTTACATGGATCTCCTATCCCACCCCCTATCAACCCAATGGAGGCAGACACAGTCTTCACTCCCCTGTTAAGGGAATTGCACTTATATGGGTTACCTCCGCCACCCATGGTAGTATGAGGTAGAATAGTGGTAGTGGTGGCAATCCATCTTCCCCAAAAACATTTTTTAGAACTGTAACAACCCTTAGACTGTATAAACACTAGATTTCTAACTCATCACTCATTCTAAATCAGTGGATGCTGGCAATCACTAGTGGGTAGGATGCTCAGTCCAGGATTTTGTGTTCATTTCTAGGATCCCTTCATGGTCCAAGCAGAGCCTCTGTAGCCCCAGTCCCTGAAGGACTGGTCATGTTTTAATGTCCCAAGATGCTTCTATTTAGGTATGTAAGAAAGAGAAATAGGGCCCCTCCATAACCTATGTTCCTCACTTGCTGAGAGGGACCTCAGAAAGTATCAGGATGTGGAGGGGGAAGCAAATCAATAAAAGGAAATGGATGGATCCTCGGTAAGCCGTCCTAGATACCCATCTTGATGTTGGATACTCCAAGGCTCCCCCGGGTCTCCACAAAAGCTGCCAAGGAGGTTCTGTGGGATCGTTTTATATCTCTTGGAAAAAAACAATATGGAAACTGTACATGGATGTTGGATAAATGACACATTTTTGTTTGGAATTTTAATAACAAAGTATATTCATATACTTGATGAAGAACAGAGGTTTAGGTTGGCAGACTTCAACTAGTGATAAGGGGAAAATAATTTTTTCTTAACAAATGCAGTTTGCTAGCCAACGTCTTATAAAAGATGGGGGTCACTGGGTGTGAGGGGGAATCACAGACTGAGACCTTAATGTGGAAATTTAGGAAATGATTGGCCATAAATGTGTTCTATATCTCTTCCTAGACTTGGGTGTTTAGAAGCCTTCTCTAAACATCTAAGTCCTTCCTTGGTGCTCACACAACACCCTACCTTATCACTGACCACATTTACTGAACTTGTTCACTTACATGGCACTCTTTTCTCCCCAAAACCCTGGAAGAAAATCCTCCAAGGGAGCCCGTCAAAGACATCAGTCAAATCTAGAAATCGGCCTCCAAAGGAGGCAAAACAGCTACAGGAAATCCCCACTATCTCCTGGACCACCTGAATCCTGACAATGCCTCTTCCTGGAAACAGCAGTGCGTTTCCAACCTCTTTGCCATTCAATGCAATGTCAGGGCCCTCTCTCCTCCAGTCAATCTCTGTCTGCTCTTCTTTCCAAGGTGAGCTGCCCCTTGACGTCTTCTGTGACCTACACCAAACAAGCCAGAGGAAAAAGGAAGCCACCATTTAAGATGCTGGGTTCCTGCCTTTACATTCAGAGCCAATTTGTCCAGCCAATTTGTAATCTGGCAAAATACCAGGCAACTGGCTGCATGTTCTCCTTTCCCACCAGCACTTGGCTCTTACGGAAGTTGCAGGCATGAACACCCTCCCCCCCGCTGCTCTTTCTGTTCCTCCCATCTTAAGAATTTTACCTTACTACTAAACTTGGGTTCAGAATCCCAGTCAATATTGTCAGCAAAGAGGCACAATCCACCATTATAAACAAAATAATTAGAGCTACCCGTGGAATATTAAAATTAAATCATGTCCGAGGCAGTCACAAACACATTGTTTCACCATTTGGAGATGCCTGTGTCCCTCCCTGGCGAACATGACATTAATTAGTTATGCATGGTTATTCCCCACAAAGAGCAAGTTCATTATAAGTTAGCAAATTTCAATTTTACAGCAGGTGTGTTATTCTGAGACTTTTATAAATTGTTCATGTGAGGATAAGCCATATAATTTTACTTTTTTTTTTTCTGTTCAATATAGTAGTGAGATACTGAAGGTACATATACCGGAAAGCTACAATTACCAGCTACCAAGATAATGCTTTCCAGGCAAACTAATGGGGTATAAACATGCAATTTTGTATTTATGGCTTATGAATCTTGCTTTAGTAATCACATGAGCCTGGCGGGTAACTTGTTTTTTTGTGTGTTTTTTTTTTCCCCTTCTTTTTCATAACTCATTATATGACCTTGGGAATAACAAGTCTTTACTTCTGCCTTTCTGGATCTACAAAATAGACCTAATACAGTGGGGGCAGAAGATAATGATGATACTGTCAGTAATGCCTTATATCCCAGGTCAAATACATGAGGCTTAGGACATGAAGATACATTATTTTGGGAGGATGGAGAGAATTTAGGGCCAATTCATCCTTGGTTTATTATCCACCATCTTTTCAGCACAATTTTTTCTTCTTCTTCTTCTTTTTTTTTTTTTATCGTATTTCATCTTCTAAGAAGCTTGGAATTGGCATATCTCTAATGACAACACCAGAAACAAAGGATTTTGTCTTATTTCTCTGCCTTTGCCCCCCTCTTCCTGACAATTTCACTCGCTTTCATTTCTCTATTGTCTTAGCTTTGTCTCGTTGCATTTGTTTTCAAAACACTTCAAACGCTGTCCTTTGGAGTGGGTGAGATATGAATAAATATTTCACTCAGTATAATAGATGATCTGGGCTGATTCAAATTTTCTAAAAGATTTCTAAGCAACAGAGCTATAAAAATGTGTTTAACCCTTTCCACATAGTGCTGAATACAGCCATATTCTTTCTACAGACAAGAAAGCCAGACACCAGCCAGGGAAGCCTCCTACCAGGCTGTCCTGGACAAAGCTGAGTTTTCCTGACAGCAGCTTGAATGATAGTTAGGGCCCCATGACTCTCTGTATGGGGAGAGGGACCGCTCTGTGCACTGTAGGATCTTTACTGTATCCCTGGCCTCAACCCACTGGATGCCATTGCATTTCTTAGCTCCTGTTGTGACAACCAAAGAACATCTCCAGATATTACAAATGTCCCCTGAGGATCACTGCCTCTGAGACATCCCTCTCTCTTTGGCTCTGAGTGTACAGGAATGTTCCAGGAGGATCCCTTACAGGAAGGAGAAAGGGAAGCATCTCAAGGTCAAAGGCTGCCACACCAGTACCGTTCTTTTGTTTTTGTTTTTGTTTTTGTTTTTGTTTTTGTTTTGTTTTGTTTTTCCTGAGCATTCACCATAATTCCTGGTGATACCAAAGTCCATGCACAGGAATACCAAACTGGCAGTGGGGGTCATAGAAACTTGGATTTCTTTGCAGCGGGGAAACAAAGACAAATGCCATTTTGGAAAGTCCAGTTAAAACAAATCTTAATTTCAATTTCATTGAACATGTGAATGTTTGCATTGACTCCAGACCTAATTTTCTCTTCCCAGCAAGGGCTCATAAACCTTGAAGCTCAAGGTATCTTAGAGAAGGGGAGCAAAAACCACGCCAGTGATTTTTATGTTTGAAAAACCTCATGTCCCTCTGTGGACAGATTCAAGGGGCAAATGTGATCCAACCTCCTTAATAACCAGATGTTTGCAATCATCAGAAATGCATCTCTGGCTGTAACCATGTCTCTGTTCTCCAGCATTCAGTCTCAGAGAGGATTTACATAACAACATGTGACATGTAGGATGCTTAGAGGCACCAACCATGACAGGACAAATTACACTCATTTCTCAATACTCTGCAAGGTGCTCCACTGCAGGCGCCAGGCGCATGCTGGGTGTTCTGAGGGGGCAGTCAAGACCTGCATGCGCAAACAGGAGGGGCGGTGCAGGGGGGCCCGCCCAGGAGGCAGCCCACTTACCCTCCGTAGGCAGGGATGGGGGGCGGGGGCGCCGCGGCCCGGAAGGTGTTGTACACGGTGCGGCCACGGCCTCGCAGGTGCGCCCCTCGGTAGGCGGCCGCGGCGGTGGCGGCTGGATACGGAAAGCCAGGCACTGCAGGGCGAGAGGAGAGAGCAAGGCTAAGACTTTCACATCCACACACACTTCCAGGAGCCAGGGGTCTAAAGGTGCTAAAGGTGGCAGCTGGGCAGGGGTCAAGGGCCAAGGGCCAATTCCAGAGGGGATGGGCTAGTTACCATGGTCACGGTGGCTAAGAAAATGTGCCAAATGAAAACATTAAGGAATTCTTAAATACAGGATTAAAGTTCATTGCACGAACCATTTTTTTAAGGTAGATTGCAATATGTATGTGCAATGTGTTCTCAACATTGTCTATCTATTCATCATCCCACCCATCCACCTATCAATCCATCTATCCATAAACAAACATACACATACACACACACGTCTAGTGTGTAATATAAATTTATATGTGTCTGAGCACACAATATGCATATGTGTATGTATGTGCGTGGATATGTATCTGTGCATGTGTATGTGAATATGTACATGCACCGTGTACACAGTATGTGTGTGTGTGTATATCCAGCGGTATGTGCATATGTGTATATGAATGTATATATATGCATATTCATATTTGTGTGTATATAATAATATTTGAAAATACATACATTTCAATGTGTTCATACTTATCTCTAAGGATGAACTGTATAGGTGTTAGTTGTCTGTTCACAGCTTTTCCCCATCTAATGTTCAGTTTTTCTCATATTTTCCTTTATGTGCATATATTACTTTAAAAAAAAGTTAATTGAAATACAGTGCTCCTCCAGACATGTGTATGCATCAAGAGTGTACATAGAAACAAATCATTCCCAACGTCCCATCAGCCTCCTAACCATTTGTGCAGCTTATAAAACACAGTAACAGCCATGACAGAGAATTGTGGCAACTCAGCTGCTCATAAGGGAGTGTGGGCAGGGTTTTCTTCCCTGGGGAAGGATTCTCTGAGCAGGATAACTTGCTGAGGAGTCAAGAGGGAAATTAAGTGTGATGCTTGAGACCCCTGGTAATTAATTCTGTTGCCTGGGAGCTCTTCCTCCCACGGCGTGCAAATCCTAGCCCAGGAGGCTTTCAGGAAACGGTGCTGCCTTCCAGCTCCTGCCACTTCCCCGATTCCCCCGGAGCTCTCACCAAGCCTGTGGTCCCATCCCACTAAGCAGCAGGCGCTGTTGCCCAAACCCCAAGACACAGAGAGGGTGTTTTTCTGGGAAGGAAACTACATGTGGGGACCCGCTGTCTCGGGAGATCTCTATCAGAGGCCCAGGAAGTCCTACAGTGAGGGAAACACTCTAACCCAGTGATTCCGCCACCCAAACTCCATTTTCCTGGGCACTGTTTATCTTGGTATTGACTTTGAGAAGAGGAAAGTCCGTCACTTGTTATGCTTCTCTCTCCTGTGAGTCTGCACGTTCTCTCAGGCCTTCCTCCATGGCCCTTTCATCTTTGCATCTCCTCCTGACTCCCCAAGTCAACAACACGAGCCCCCGATTTCATCCACAACAGATTCTAAACACTGGGCCCCAGAAGGGAGGTGTGGATGGCGTCACTACCTGGCCAGGTGAATGAACTTGTGGGTCATAGTCAGGCCAAGGAGTGGGCAGCCATCCAGCAAGCCCTCTCTCCTGGCCGGTTTTCTCCTCTGATCCCACTGAGCTTACAGGAGCTTGGAGGAGTTCCCGAGAGGGGAAGTCACATGAGATGAGCCAGGGTGTGATGGGTCTCTCCCTTCCACAGTCCTCCATCCCTGCCCCATGTCCCTGGGCTTTCACAGTGTGATGAGGTGCCATGCTGGGAAGGTCTCCACTCCCTTTGGCCATGACATAAACGCCAGGAAAGGACTCCTAGCCAAGGAAGCTCTTTTACTTCAACTCAACACACCCACACCTCCCTCTTCCTGGGACTCTATTGTATGAAACACCTACTGCACCCAGGTGTTGTATTTCCTGTTGAGTTAAAGTGGTCTCCACCCCATGTCTGCCAAGTGGGGCTTTCCCCTTTCGACCATCACACTTCATGGTACATGCACTCCACCCCATCTCATCCCATTGCTCCCCGCCCTGGGACAGTGAGCTTGCAGCTGTGTAGTGGGGAACAGGGGGCAGGGAGAGGAGAGGGCTCCCACAGAAGTCATTCCTAATTCTATACCACCTCATGCACCTTCATGGGTTGGACTCTGATCCTTGAAGTTGAGATGAAGATTGACTGGCTGTCATTCAGAATTCTGTGTCCCCTGACGGCCCGTTTTGGGGATTGCACCATATCTTTCTCTCAGGAGGACGGTAAAATGCTAGGACGGCTGGACCATGCTAGGATGATTCCATCTTTCTATTTGTGTCTAAGACCATACCGTTATTTTTAACTGTTTTTAAATGTATTTTTAATTGATTTCAGAGAGGAAGGGAGAAGCAGAGATAGAAACATCAATGATGAGAGAGAATCATTGATCGGCTGCCTCCTGCACACTCCACACTGGGGATGGGGCCCACAACCCGGCCATGTGCCCTGACTAGGAATCCAAATGTGACCTCCTAGTTCAGTGGTCGGCAAACTCATTAGTCAACAGAGCCAAATATTATATCAACAATTCAATGATAGAAATTTCTTTTGAGAGCCACATTTTCTAAACTTAAACTTCTTCTAATGCCACTTCTTCAAAATAGACTCGCCCAGGCCATGGTATTTTGTGGAAGAGCCACACTCAAGGGGCCCAAGAGCTGCATATGGCTCAAGAGCCACAGTTCGCCGACCATAGTCCTAGTTCATAGACTGATGTTCAACCACAGAGCCACGCGGCTGGGCTGGACCCTGTTTTATTGTTAAAAAACAAATGCTGCCACTGTACTCAGCTCTCCACCTGCCAGCCCCTAGCACCCACGTCTCCTGGCACCGGTTTTAAATAATTGCAGAGAAGCCTTGGTCTTCACGGGGAAAGCAGTCAACCCTAATATCATAAAAGCCCACAACTAATGAGATAGGAGGTGTTAGCTTCAGGCCCGGGGAGAAAATGAGGGGGCACGGCTTTGACTCGAACTCCATCTCCCCGCAGTTCCAACATTAAGTTTTCCTAGGAACGCCCTGAATTTTGAAATAAAGAAAGTGAAAGATTCACAATCTGGCAGAGCAGCTGGCTGCCAGTGTGAGGAAACACGGTAATTATGCTGACCCATTCATTATCGCCGGCTGTGGTGGCGAGCGAGCCAGGCGAGATCCCTCTCAGTGACAAGCGGATTTTACAGTAATTCTTGGAGGATTTAGATGTTGGGAGATAACATGAAACAGAAGCGAAGAAGCGGAGTAAGGGGGGCACAGGCTGCTCAAAGTGCGGAGCCAGGGTTCCACCTGTACCCCGTTTCTTACACAGAGAAAATGTCCTTCCTGATGCAGAACAATGGGCCTTCACACAAGGCTCTGGGCTTCTCTACACAGGCCAGATGTGAGGGGTTCTTATCTTGATAGAGGGATACAGGGAAGACCTCACCTCAACTCCTGGTGTAAATATTGCTTTCCTGGCGGCCCGGGGCCCCTTAGGTAAACTAAGCTGGTTGCATTGTTCATGCATTGGAGCAAAGCCTCCTGGAGAGAGTGTGGGAGTCTCCCAGATGGAAAAGCTCAGCTCTCGCTTTCCTCTTGCCAGTTGAGGACTGGCCAAGGGGCCTGCTGGTCTCTGGTTAGTCATCATCACTAATGAGCATGTCCTTCCTCTTTATTCCTTCCTATCTTCAATGCCCCTTTCCCGCTCTTTCCTTTCCCCTCCTGTCCTCCCTCCCTCCCTTCCTCTGTCTTCCTTCCTCTCTTTATTTGTTAATCTGGACAAGGCTGCCATGAACTCCCCTGGTATGTAATAAGTCCTCCCTTCCCTTCCTCAATAGATGCTGTGGCTATAAGCAAAATGACATACCAATAATAAAACTAACTTATAGAATAGGCCAGTAGTCGGCAAACTCATTATTAGTCAACAGAGTCAAATATCCACAATACGACTGAAATTTCTTTTGAGAGCCCAATTGTTTAAACTTAAACTTCTTCTAATGCCACTTCTTCAACATAGACTCTCCCAGGCTGTGGTATTTTGTGGAAGAGCCACACTCAAGGGGCCAAAGAGCGCATGTGGCTCGCGAGCTACAGTTTGCCGACCACAGGCATAGGCTAATTGATACACACAAGAGCTAAGTGCCCACTGCACCTCATCAGCATTGTAACAAAACGCTGTTATTGGAGAGTCTGCTGTACTGACAACCCACTAGCTTGGGCCCCGGGACTGAAGGACTCTCGCTGGTGCTGGAATGAATGCAAGCCCCAAGAGGGTAGTGAGCATGTAGGGCGCCCACTGATTTACAAGGCTGCCTGGCGCGGAGCAGCATCAGGTACCTAATATCTTGCCTGGACTTCTGGTGGTTAAGCAATGCCAAGCTGCTTCTTTTTTGGGGGGGAAAGGCCTTAGCTCTGTAGTCCCCATCTTTCATTACCATGTCTTCTCTACAAAATGCCCTGCCCAGCTTTTGTAGAAAAACAGTGTGTAAATGACACAATTTGATCTGAATCATGATCCTTGTAAAAATAATTTTGCATCCACACATTTTGGTGCTGTGTTGGCCCAGACATAGCAACCCGACTCAGAATATCATTGATTCTGATACAAAGGGAGGCAAACTGGATAAGTGTATTGGACTTGGTATTACTGCAAACCCTCAACTCCTACCAATGCCCTTTAGTTGCTGCACAGTGTCAGGATCTGAAGATGGGTTTTCTGTCCTGGGGAAAAGCAAGATTCACACCTTGCCCCCAGGCAGGTGATACCTATTAAAGGGGCCTTCCTTCCTGCAGCCCCACACCATGCTCCTGGCAGTCCAGCGAATCACAGCCTCTGAATGCAATGCATTTGTGCAATAAGAAAAGACAGCAAATATTTATAACCCTTAACTTGTCCCATTTGCAGCTGGGCCTTTTATGTGTCCTCCCACCTCCCTTCAAGGCTGTTCCCCAATGGGTGGTTTAGGACAGCAGGGCTCTTTTCTCTTGCCACTAAGACAATT